TCTTATAGTTAAAGTACTTACTGCTACAGTGCCATTATAGGCCAACACCAAACTCATCCGGATAACAGAAAGAATCAAATACGACCGTTAATTATTATAACCGAGGGCAGCCATCTAGACGAAATTGTTATTACATTTTATTTAAACGAATTTTACTTCATCCGCAAAACGCAAATGATGGAAAGGTTTTATTAGTATGGCCACCGCCAGCCGTCCAGTTTTTTTCCCTTCTTTTTTTTCCCCTTTTTGTTACCTCCTTTTTGCTTACAAGGCCCTAATGTATAGAGGCTTGGGACTATTTTTCTAAATTATAATTACATTGTGACGACACTATTATCAGCAAACGCAATTCGATTGACGGTTGGTTGTAAAGTTAAGACATTAGAGTAGATCACACTGAGGCCATCAATGTCAGATCTTTTATTGACCGATTTCGGTTCCAAGAAAATCTCCACCATTTCCAAAGTTGCTCTTTTGTTGTAGTTGCTTTCTTTATGGAGAATTTTTGTTTCAACAAAGTTAACATCGTGATCCATTTGGTTAGAGTGTGTTGCTAATGAACAGGTGTTCTTATTGAGTCTGCAATCACTCTTGTGTGACGTAATTCTATCTTTAAGTACTCGCGATGTCTGTCCTATGTATACCTGATCACACTGATTACAGGGGATGCTATAAATTACTTCTGAATTCTTTTGTACCTCATCCTTATCTTTTAGTTTGCTAAAGACACTCCCCAATGTTTTTGTTTGTTTATATGCTATCTTAATATTTGTTTGTGCTCTCAGAATTTTTGTGAGTGTGGTCGTTAATTCTTTAATGTATGGCAATGAAAAATAAAAACATCTCTGATCGTCCATTCCTGGGCTATCTGAGTGGACGACCGTGTTCCGCGGGTTTGGAGCTCTTAGTGGGGTCGTGCTATATAACAATTTTTTAGTTAACCTACTTGGGTATGAGTTGTTAATCAGCATGTCGTAAAGCTTATTAAGATTTTTTTGTCTTAGTGATGGGTGAGAAATCCTCTCGATTCGTGTCTTTAATGCTATGACCAAATTTATTTTTGTTTTCGTTGTATGGTAAGAGTGGAAATTCATATATCTCCCCGAACTGGTCGGTTTTATGTACCAATCTAATATAATTTTGTTATCGTTGTTCCGGATCACTTTAGTGTCCAGAAATGGTACGCTTTTATCAATTTCCTCCTCTACTGTAAATTGTATGTGTGCATCATAGCTGTTAAACACTGTGAGCGTTTCCCTCACGCAACTTTCAGGTATGGAAGTAATTATATCATCCACATATTTTTTCAGAAATGGTAACTGAAACGACAGCTTATCTACGCACACCTCAAGTAGGTCATCCATAACGTATTGAGCTAATATTGGAGAAATGATGGCACCCATCGGTGTACCTAATTTTTGTTTGTAAAATTCATTGTTAAATCTAAAATACGTTGTATCAAAGACAAACTGAAGTATCTTCAGGAAACTAATTTGTGACAAATCAGTGTGGTTTTTAATTCTGTTCCAATGTTTTTTTATACTTTTTTCTACCAAATTATATGGAATATTACTAAATAAAGAGACGACATCCAAGCTCACAAGAACATACTTATTAGGTAATTGTTTGTCATTGATAAATGAAGAAAACTCAAATGAATCACCTGTGAAATAATCATTATTCTTATTATATGCTTTGGTTAAAACCTGAGTCAACAATGAAGCCAGTTTACTGTTCGGAGCATTAATTGATGAAATTATCGGTCTTAAGGACAATTGGGGTTTATGTATTTTGGGTAAGCCATAAAATTTAGGACAAGTTTGATTATATATATTTAAAGTTTTGGCTACCTCATTTGTTAATTGTTTTTGATCTTTTAATGATTTGACAAGTTTGTTAGCTTTTTGTTGGTAAGTAGATGTAGGATCGCATCTGAGACGCTCGTAATAGGTCCGATCCATCAGAATTTCGTTTGATTTTTGAATGTATCTTTAGACATAATAACTGTCACATTCCCTTTATCGGCCCTAGAAACGACCAACTCAGCGTGATCCTTAAAAAATTTTTTTGTCTTTTTTAACAAAATGTCTATATAGCTGCGCTTTGCCGGTTGTTTTAAAAAATTAGTCAATACATTAGTAAACTTAGCTCTTACAGTATTTTTTGCGTTCTCTGGTACAACTTTAATTATAGTTTCTACATCAGCAATTAAACGTTTGACTGAGATTTCATTGCATCTTGGTGGCACGGAAAATTTCGAACCTAAAGAGAGAAACCTCAAGACATCATCCGGGACCTCAACCTCTGAAATATTCTTAACCCAATTATCTTGTGTTTTGATTGTTAAGTGATGCTGTTGCGACTTCAAGTTTTGAAATTTGTTTATGTTCTTTTTTTTGATGGTTTTGAATTTTTTATCACATGACCCTTGTTGTCTTTTACCAAATTCGGAATCAATGTCAAAACTTTCTCTCTTACTTGTTTCAGTGATTTTTCAATACGATTGATAGTTGAAATAGTGAGTGATATTTCTAAATTAATTAATTTGTTATTCAACCTGGTATTGAATTGTCCAATTGTCCTTAAGACCGATAATTTCATCAATTAATGCTCCGAACAGTAAACTGGCTTCATTGTTGACTCAGGTTTTAACCAAAGCATATAATAAGAATAATGATTATTTCACAGGTGATTCATTTGAGTTTTCTTCATTCATCAATGACAAACAATTACCTAATAAGTATGTTCTTGTGAGCTTGGATGTCGTCTCTTTATTTAGTAATATTCCATATAATTTGGTAGAAAAAAGTATAAAAAAACATTGGAACAGAATTAGAAACCACACTGATTTGTCACAAATTAGTTTCCTGAAGATACTTCAGTTTGTCTTTGATACAACGTATTTTAGATTTAACAATGAATTTTACAAACAAAAATTAGGTACACCGATGGGTGCCATCATTTCTCCAATATTAGCTCAATACGTTATGGATGACCTACTTGAGGTGTGCGTAGATAAGCTGTCGTTTCAGTTACCATTTCTGAAAAAATATGTGGATGATATAATTACTTCCATACCTGAAAGTTGCGTGAGGGAAACGCTCACAGTGTTTAACAGCTATGATGCACACATACAATTTACAGTAGAGGAGGAAATTGATAAAAGCGTACCATTTCTGGACACTAAAGTGATCCGGAACAACGATAACAAAATTATATTAGATTGGTACATAAAACCGACCAGTTCGGGGAGATATATGAATTTCCACTCTTACCATACAACGAAAACAAAAATAAATTTGGTCATAGCATTAAAGACACGAATCGAGAGGATTTCTCACCCATCACTAAGACAAAAAAATCTTAATAAGCTTTACGACATGCTGATTAACAACTCATACCCAAGTAGGTTAACTAAAAAATTGTTATATAGCACGACCCCACTAAGAGCTCCAAACCCGCGGAACACGGTCGTCCACTCAGATAGCCCAGGAATGGACGATCAGAGATGTTTTTATTTTTCATTGCCATACATTAAAGAATTAACGACCACACTCACAAAAATTCTGAGAGCACAAACAAATATTAAGATAGCATATAAACAAACAAAAACATTGGGGAGTGTCTTTAGCAAACTAAAAGATAAGGATGAGGTACAAAAGAATTCAGAAGTAATTTATAGCATCCCCTGTAATCAGTGTGATCAGGTATACATAGGACAGACATCGCGAGTACTTAAAGATAGAATTACGTCACACAAGAGTGATTGCAGACTCAATAAGAACACCTGTTCATTAGCAACACACTCTAACCAAATGGATCACGATGTTAACTTTGTTGAAACAAAAATTCTCCATAAAGAAAGCAACTACAACAAAAGAGCAACTTTGGAAATGGTGGAGATTTTCTTGGAACCGAAATCGGTCAATAAAAGATCTGACATTGATGGCCTCAGTGTGATCTACTCTAATGTCTTAACTTTACAACCAACCGTCAATCGAATTGCGTTTGCTGATAATAGTGTCGTCACAATGTAATTATAATTTAGAAAAATAGTCCCAAGCCTCTATACATTAGGGCCTTGTAAGCAAAAAGGAGGTAACAAAAAGGGGAAAAAAAAGAAGGGAAAAAAACTGGACGGCTGGCGGTGGCCATACTAATAAAACCTTTCCATCATTTGCGTTTTGCGGATGAAGTAAAATTCGTTTAAATAAAATGTAATAACAATTTCGTCTAGATGGCTGCCCTCGGTTATAATAATTAACGGTCGTATTTGATTCTTTCTGTTATCCGGATGAGTTTGGTGTTGGCCTATAATGGCACTGTAGCAGTAAGTACTTTAACTATAAGACTTTAGTATTAAATAACTAAGAGCCGCTTTCATATTGTAGCCCCTGAAGAAGAAAATAAACATTTTCGAAAGCTTGGTGTAGCACAAAAGCCTTTTATTTGAGCCCTCATCAGGACCGATACCCCAATTAACTAAAATTTGTTGTTCAACTAGCCGGTCACGACTACCGTTTTGTATATATATATATATATATATATATATATATATATATATATATATATATATATATATATATATATATATATATATATATATATATATATATATATATATATATATATATATGATGACACTATATTCCGGGATATCATCCGTTCGCTCGTTGAACTCCGACTGGAATCCTGCATCCGACTGGAATCCTGCAAATCTTGCATCCGACTGGAATCCTGCAGACGTTTCGCCAAAATCTCACTTGGCATCTTCAATGCTCGCGCTCCGAAAACACTTCGAACACGGAAGCTGATGTCGACATTTTGCTGCACCTCTAAAGCGATTCACAAAAAAAAATCATTTCATTTTCATGTTTAATTGACATTCTGAAACTGAAATTTCCCGCACGCCACTGAGCCGGCTGATATCCTCGTGCAGTTTGCTGCGGAGTGTCCCCGACCGAGTATCGGTCTTGCGTGTTTATTGTGTCCTCTGCCGCGCTCGGTGTTAGACGTGCTGAAATAAAAAGTCTTCGAGTCAAAGTCGTACCGTCTCGTTTCCTTCGATATTCGTCTTCCCACCCGGAGATGGCCCATGGAAGTTACGATTCGATAGAACCGATCAATATCCTGCGACGACTGTTGCGGTTAAATATCGAGTAAACGTTAGGGTTTGCCAAAGAAAAATTATCAAGGCGGCTGTGTTTTGACATACACAAAGACAATAATTTAATTCCTTTACGTCAACCCCGACTCTGCCAATAACCAGTGGCTGTGATACCTGCATTACCGGCATTTGTTTCGGTAAGTAATACAATTTCGGTTTAGTGATTTGTTATGTATTAACGCCCAAACGTTAGCATGTGATTGTTTATAATTCAAGGTAAATCCGTAAGTAATCGCAAGTGAAGTGCAGTCTCGCGTTGTGCTATTGATTTTGAGGGATAAACGTACGCCGCGACCTATCCCACGGCCTCCTAAAATAAATTATATTTTACCGAGTTACGAACCGTGCCGGTTGTGAATCATCTGGGATTCGAAAATTCCCAGGGTTCAAAGTACACGGAAACGTAAGTGAGTGTCGGCGATAAGGGCACTTAATCTATAGAAATGACGACTTTTTGTCGGACGGTGATGAAATTTGATTGCCGATTGCTAGATAGCTTTTATTCTTGGGAGCTCCCATTACGTAATAGAGATGATAGTTTAAAGCTTTCGTTAAACGGGAGCTTTCTTTCCGCAAAAGCCACTCACAATGAGTCCCAATTAGATGCGGGTACTTGTGCATGCGAGGCGTCGCGAATACCCACTTGAGTGAGCTCCTAAAGTTGATTGAGATAAAAAAACTGTGATTGCGATCAGCCACAGTAAGATTTATTGGTATCACTGCACTTTGCCCGATCGACGTGCATCAAAAATTGCGCACAGACGTAAAAACATACACGGATAGATAGATAGATTACATTATTAAAGATTATATTATCAAGTCAATCATAACGCAAAGTTCTTTTCAGTTAGCTTTGATTGTTACTCGTTTTTTGTTTTACTTTACGTCAAAGCAGTTTTCTTATATTAAACAAGATAGTTCTCACAATCTTGCTACCCGAGTTTGTATTTCAAAGAAGCCGCTTCGCGGCTTCTTGTCTTTGAATGGAACTTTCGCAAAGTCGATGTAATTTTATTATGCAACCACCCTGTATAAAATGTCTTTCGCGTCTCACCGAACTTCAAAGCTACTGCAAACTTTGGTAAATATGAAAATTTGTATCAGTGCTAGACATCCGCAATAACATTTTTCCAAATATCCCGTGCATGGAAACAGTAAACAAAAAATCGTAGCTCTCGACACAGCTTACGATACTCTTTAAAGCAAATCTTATCTTTTGCCGTTTTATATTTACGACCAATAATTTATCAAAAAAAAAAAGTTTTCAGGATGTTTTAGATTTTTTGCGGATAAGCGACACATCCTGTATATAATTCATAAAATGTTCGAAGTAGAGTTTATAGCCCAGGATCTGCCACATTTCCGGGCACATGAATTTTTCCAATTGAGTAAATGGTTTTCGAGAAAATATTTATTTTCTGGAACTAGGCAGTATGCCGTAATAGTAAATGACGTCATCGCGTAAATACAAAAATTGTAGCTCGCTGGCTATTGGACTGTGTCAGTCAAATTTTTCACTAATTTTGATTTCCGGCTAATAATTTACTCTCAAAAAGAAAAGTTTTCAGGGTCTTTTAAATTTCTTGTTCATACCTGAAACACCCTGTATATAATCGAAAAAATTGCCTAAAACAAAAGTTATAGCCCTGGATCTCCCGCGTTTTCTAGTTTTTGAGATAGTAATGTTTTTGTGGAAGCCAAAATAGCCAAAAAAAATTCAAAAATTAAAAAAATGCTTTTGCTCAACTTCTACGGTTTAGATTTAGGTATGGACTTCCTTGCCAAATTTGAAGCCCATAGCTGCAAGTTTGAGACCGCTATTACATTTGTGAATATTGCACAGAATATTCCGAACACTCCGTACAATATGTGGAAACCTTAAATACAATAGTTTTTGTCATGTAAAATAATCTGGCAACTGAAATATAGTATTTTCCTTAAAAGTAGAACATATTTTTCAGTTTTTGCGAAAAAGCGGCGCACTCTGCACATTTTTGAGAAATTATTATTGGCCTAATGTTCTGCATACTCTCGTCCAAAAATTTTTTCGCCGCGTAAACAATTTTCGAGAAATGACTTAAGCCCTTGCAAAATCGATTTTTTATTAAAACAAAAAATACTTGCCAACAAAGTCAGTCAGTCACGTTAGAGGCAGACAGAATCGTTTAAAGCTTAAGTCTTTTAAATGCCTTAACATCTCCTCAGCGGTCATCTTTGTCTAAAAAACTTGGCTCTTTTAGGGAACTAAATAGTAGTAATAGAAGAAAAGTAGTTGCTACTTGCTAGGTGCTCGACTCAATACAGCATTATTCAAAGACATTTTTCATATATAGCTCTTGAATTGATCAATAAATTACCAGTAGTATTTTTAAACGATTTGTCCTTAATTACAACAAATTTTCAAAATATTTATTTTTGATAATGACGACGATTTTTACTATTCACAAATCTTCTGGATTTCTCTTGCATCGGTTGTTGATGAATCGAACTTGCTGACATTTCACCAATCATCCTGTTCGCTTCTTCAGAGCTTAATTGAAACTGATTCGCATTCTATTCTGTACCTGCTTATATATCGTTTGAGGGGGGCGGAGCTAAATGAGGGACGTGAACATTGCCTTGAATGACTCATATTGATAGAAGAATTTATTACATGGAAGAATTTTAGTTTTTTATGGAATAAAGTTTAATGTCTAGCTTCGTGATTGTGTTCGGCAACTGCTGCTTCATGCTGTTTCATGTTATTTGAGCCTAGTTGATATTTTTCGTCCGGTCTCGAGAATGTATTCTTTGCCGTATATGCACGGAATGTTTTAAACTCCTGCTATCTCAAAGGACATTTTGTTGACTTTTAATACGTGGTCAGTGATCTTTTGAATGTAAGGAACAGGATAACGGTGGCAAGGGTGGGGTTGCTTTAGGACTCATTGTCTTTGGAAGATTATGGTGAAGTGTATTCTGTGATAGAACGCTAAATGTCTCTAATGTGAAAATTATTAGAGAGAAGAGCAAATGTAAGGTGTTTTAATTCTGGGTTCAGTGACTGTGGCTGAAATAGTTTTACTACTCTGTAAACAAGACAGTTGATAAGCGATGATTTTTGGGCCTGATGGTGATGTGACAATGCATTAAGGTATCGGTTTGTGTGCGTAGGTTTTCTGTAAACACAATGACCCAAATTGTGTATTGATTAGAATATCAAAGAATGGGAGGTTATTATTAGTTTCTAATTCAATTAGTTTCCAAATTAATCGTAAAACGTATGTTAGGGTGTATAGAGTTTAAATGTCTAAGAAAATTTACTAAGGATTCTTGACCATGAGGCCAAATAACAAAAGTATCATCGACGTAGCGTTTCCATAATTTTGGTTTTTGATGGAAGGTGTCGAGGGCTTTCTTCTCAAAGGCTTCTATAAATATATTCGCGATGACTTTTCTCAACGTTTATTCAAAAATTTGACCATTATAAGAAAAATGTGTTCCAGACAAGCATTTTTCAATTAAGATGAGAAGGTGGGGTTTCAAATTCTATGGTTTTAATATCTCTGAATAGTGTTGAGCGTTTCAGGAATAGGGACTTTAGAAAACTGAGGTTCTACGTTCGTACTAACCAGAATATCCTGTGCGTCTAATGTATGGTTTTTATTTGTTCAATGAAATGAAAGGAATTAAGTACTAAACTATTGGTTTTCCCTATAAAGGATTTTAATGTATTTTTTATTATAACGATAATTGCTTAGATTTTCTTTGTATTAAAGAGACTACGTTTGAAAGCGGTCTTTGAGTGACAACTTATTCTTAACTATTATCCTATATATAAATTTTTTAATTCTTCTTAATTTTTAATCGTTACACTTCTTGCTTTCTGGATGATAAAGACATGCTTCTCAAAACAATCTAAAATTAAGTTCAAATAAGTGTGCAGTAATGGGATTTGACCAAAAAACATAATTGCCTTCCTAAACAATAACCTTTCACTATTTATAGATGGACTGAAATTCCCGATTGTAAGAAAACCAAAAAATCTCGGCTTAATCCTTGAGGATGACTTGCGTTTCATCGCCATTGCAAAAGGCTCTACGATCTACGATAAAAACCATTTTAAAATACAAATTTCACAAAAAATTATGTGTGTGTGTGTGCTGGCGTATTACCCTTGCCTTGACGTCTGTATTAAGAATCGGTTACAAAAGCTTAAGAAAAGAATAAATAAAGTCATCTTACTTTGTCACACTCGATAGCAGGACAAATCATCGCTTCTCTTAAAAATCTAACCCTTAACAATTTTCGTAGAGAGCTCATACGCTCCTTAATCGTAGCTCAATTATCCGTTGTGGTCTAGTAGGTTTTTTTTTGTATCTCTATATACAGGGTCTCCCAAGTGAGCAAAATTTAAAGGTTAATAACGTGCTGTTTAAAAATTCCCATCACTTCCGGAGATACGTCGAAAAATCTAAATTTGCCTATTTTGTTTTTGTTTCTGGTATTATGATTTCCAATAACCGTATCATATATGGTTATAAAATTAAAATGTTGAATCGCACTGTAGTGAAGCTATACCCGAAAGACATATCGCGATGACCGCAGACCGACCTTGGTTGATTTGAGCGGATTATTTTGAAAAAAAAATAACGCGATAGCAAAAAGCTGACGGCGTCAAGAATCGCAATTGTTTTCGCCCCACCGATTAATGTAAACACCGGATTGTGCAACGAGACGAAATTGAAAAGGTCGTATTCCAAAGCAGTAGATGTTTTTGTTAATCTATCAAAGTGTTAAAAAAAATTAGGTTAGTTTGACGGTTAAGTGTCAGTACAGGCGTACGGATGAATTGTAACAAGAGGAAATTCTGATTTCCCCGTAACTATTAGGTAGTGCCGTGACTCGGCGTATCAACGCTCTCTTTTCAACTCCTGTTTATGCGTATTACAGCGCTGTTCTTTTCCTTATATTATAATAAACGTACAATTCATGACTTGGGTATTATAAAAACTGCTAACAAAATTAAGAAGGTGTACAGGAATTTCCCTTACTATTGAACAATTAAACGATTAGATAATACATTTTTTGATTAAATTGGTCGTTTTTTGTATACAAACTAACTGATAAATGTCAAATATAGCAATAATAACAAATG